CAAATGAGAAAACAAATGTCATGACGATGAGAAAACAGCTCTGATTTTATTGACCCAAAACCACTACTAATTCCTTCAGGAAATACAAAGTAGATTTCATAATTACCTGATCCATTATGTATCTTTGCGATTGGATCCAGATGAGTTAAACTGAAATATTGGTGCAAAAAAAAAATATTGCATGAGGTCCTGAGTAACCATTCACCAAGTTAAACGATCTGAAACATAATCCACAAGGAATACCTGTGAATCCTTCTGTATGTATCCTGTTCTTCTTGACAGAGGATTCTGGGTAGTTCCACGGCAGACTCCAGACATACTTTCCCGATGGCTTCATGTGGGACTACATGGATGGGGATCTCAATCCGCTCATACCTTGTCATAAGAAAGGAATGCAATTTCCATTTTTATGAGCAAAAACACTGCACAAAAACTATTTCTCATCAAATACTGAGAGATCAGATAAACAAAACATACACTACCAGTCAGCTGTGGACACACATAAATTTATCTTTTTGTTTATGGAACTATAATGTTTTAGATTATGTATGACGCATGGATCTGAGTTGCAAATCTAAAAATGTAAAGCTTTCAGTTATTCATTAAAATAAAAAGCAGATTATTTACTCTGAGCCTTTCTGGGCTTGTACTGACTGGAAACAGGTGTACAGGACTCTACCAGTCTACAAGAGAAATAGAAAGAAACGGCATGGTAAAAAACGTGACAATAAAATAATAACTCTTCAAGGTGATGAGCTTAATATACCTTTGTGTTTTTATCTTCTATAAAGCATGAGAAGATGAGTCCAACAAAACCCTGATCCATCATCTGATACATTGCTTGAGTCCTAACATCTGTATAATGCGAGAATAATTGGAATTTTATTCAAATAAAGGGAAGATAATAATGTATAATTCCATGCATTCATTAAAAAAAAACAACTAACCAACATGTGATGGCCACACAGTGATGTGTGGATGAGAGTGGTACCAGCCCACAACCCTCATTGGACGTCCCGTCATCTCAGCCAACCTGTGCCTCATATTAAGAAAATGGGCTAAAATAACATCAGGATTACACTTTATGATACATAAAGTGTTTTATGCGTACTGTACAACCCCATTTCCAGAAAAGTTGGGACATTTCGTAAAATGCAATAAAAACTAGAATCTGTGATTTTTT